CAAAAAAAAAAAATTTTCGCTAAGCTCTAATAGGACATTAACCGGTGTTGGTAAGTTGGACTACGGGAGTACTCAGTTGAGAATGTAAAACAAAACAGCAAAACAATATTTATAAATATATGTTATTTAAGTGGATAAATTTACATAGAGTAACAATATGGGGGAGAACACTAAAGTTAAGAGGTTGTTTATGTTAATGGGGCGGGGGAATTTTGGAGAAAGTAAGTTATAAAGTGGAACAGCAATATTAGGACAATTGAAAAAAATGTGTTCCAAGATACCGTCTTCTAGGCCGCACTCGCACAGAGAGTGATCTCGAACTCTGATTTTACGCAAAAATACAGGTGTGCAAACATGGCCTAAGCGCAAACGAATAATAGTGGAAGTGATGTTTTTAGGCAAATCGCGACGTTTAAAAAAACCAGGGTTTAGTGGGTAGATTTGGTTGGAGATTACCATAGTGTCTACCAACAGTTTGTCGTGATTCCTGCCAAAGGACCGACCAGGAGGCTAGCATTTGGGGTTTGGTCATGGCGAGCAGATCTCTGGGAAAGCACTTACAGTATTTGCATACGCCAATTCTTGTCGCATCCTTTGCAAAGGCGTCTACTGCTTCGTTGCCACTAATCCCACTGTGACCGGGAATCCAGGCCAGAGTTACCTCAATTCCCGCACAATGACATCGGTACAGAGCTTCCTTAATTTGGAGGGTGATGGAGAAATTGTCTTTGGAATGAAACGGTAGCTTAATAATGTCTTGGAGGCAACTTAGTGAGTCTGAGAAAACCAAACATTTATTAATTTTATGGGACTCAATATATAAAATGGCTTCGAGTATTGCAATTGCCTCTCCCGAAAAGACCGAATTCAGATAGGGGGATTTAAAACTGAGTACGACATTGAACTTGGGGAACCAAACCGCGGCTCCCAAGTCGCCATGTTCGTGTAATTTTGAAGCGTCGGTAAAAACAGTAGTCCAGTCATGCCATATATATATATATGTCCTACTTTTTTAAAATACGACGTGCCAAAGTTAACTGACATCATTTTTTTTAAATTTTAATACAAAGTCTCTCGAGTAGCGAGCCTTCTTGCACGACATGCCATTTATTTTCCTATGCGTTTCGACGAGTACCTTACACTGCTCATTGGCAAATTCTTTCACCACGATGGCAAGCATTATAGTGTATGTCATTGACACGATAAGAAGAAGAAGCAAGATGTCTTATTGTAAGAGAACTCGTTTAATAGATTAAACAATCACTTCGAAAGTTAGCATAGCAGCTATACATAGACATTATAATAGTACTCAACGTACGTCAAAGTTATTCTGAAAACGGGAAATCGTCAATTAACACCATCAAACATGTCATATTTCCATTAAGGTGTTACTTATTTTATCTCTAATAATTGGGTGTCAGAGATGGAAACACTCGACAACTATGTCAGAACATCATTATTATCGGTTCGTAGATAAACAGCCTAAGTACTTGGGTAACTAAAGCATGGTTTGTTTGAAAAAAATCGCGATTTAGATCGAAAAAAGAGGTTCATATCCAAAGTGTTACAATATGGCGTATAAATTTCTTATGTAGTTATTAATTACTTCTATAAATTGTGCTAATAAAAGTAATATTATAAATGCGAAAGTAACTAAGTCTGTTAAGTTTTCACGCCTAAACCGATGAACCTAATCTGATAAATTTTGATATAGAGATAGATAGGACGTAAGAGAAGGACACAGGTTTGAGACTTATTGTCACAATAATAATTCTTAAAGTTTCTGAAATAGTGAATGAAAGTTTGTATGGAGAACCAATAATTTCTCAATTAAGTAATACATAGGCCACTATCTATTCTACGCAGACGAAGTCGCGGGCACCAGCTAGTTTTGCATTTTATTTAATTATGTGGATTTATTAAACAAAAAATGTACATCCACGACAACATGTTAGACATCTTGAGTTCAAGTTCCCGACAAAAGAATAACGAATAAGGCCCGGTAACCCAATGCCACGGTATTCTAAATCGACCCAATCGCAACCTGCATGGCTGTCCGCCGCGCAGGCAAGATACTGCTCACACACTGTTCCTGCGTATGGCCCTCGTATGGAGTCTCGCAGGGCGCATTGCAGGATTCCAGGATGGCTTGCACGCTACGACTACGTTCATAATCCTGCATTACGCGGCAGACGGCAAGGCAGACTGCAATGCAGGATAATGAATCTCATCTGTCATCCAACCGTCATCAGATCAGCTAGTGGTCACCGTAACATTTTATTTTCATTGGAATTACATCTATATGAAAATAATCCTTTAGGGCGCATTTACTCGACACGAATTTATCGCGCTCACCTCGCGCGTTGACCGCGTGCACCTAAACTGTCATGGCAAAATACGCTCTATAGTTTAGCTTTTACGTTTTAACTTAAATGAGCGTACCGGGCGGGCGGGCGAATCTGGCTTGTTTGGGCTACGCGTTGTATTATTACGAAGAATTTATTTATTTAAATGTTGTTGCCTAGTAAATAAAATTCAGGTTCGCCATTAATGTACGTGAAAGCATGGTACCTGGGCGGTCATCACACGGCGGCCGCGCAGTGACTACACGATAACTTTGGCGTCGTGTAACTGAGCGTTCAGGGGGAGAAATTTTCTTCCATCTTTACAACGAAAAAGAATCATCGAAATCCAGAAAAATCAATCACAAATTGCGAAGCAACCGCGTAACAAACACAGAAAAAAAAAATACAAACTGAGAAGGACGTTCTCCTTTTCTGAAGTCGTTTCAAAATTACGACTTGCTGAAGAAGAAGAGAACTACATTCCCAGAAGTAAAAGATTTTGGGTGAACAAGCTTTGGAAGCCTGCCGAAGCATCCCGAATCATCCCGAAGGCTACCGAGGCATTCCGAAAGCTGCCGGCTCGTTAACCCTTTACAGAAGCTTTGTTTTTGTAGCTACGACCATTATAATTGGAATTTTAATAATGAGGTACATTACTTAATATAAAAGTATACCTATTGCTATTCATCACCTAATAATTCCCTGCCATGCGGCCGATCAGTGGGCGCCACACAAACTTAACCAAATATTGATGATTAGAGATGAAAGATAACTAAAGTTGCTCAATGGACTAAAGTGTAATAGAGGGGTAATTAGATCATTTGGCAACAGCGTTTTATAAATTTTACAATAAAACATAAAAAACCAGCCGTGGTAGCCTAATAGTTTGACCTACTGCCTCTCAAGCAGAGGCTGTGGATCTGAATCCATTCTCGCACGTCTGAGTTTTCAGAATTTATGTGCAAAATTCAATTTGGAATTCACCGTGATCTTTTCGGTAAAGGAAAACATCCTGATAAAAACTGCACGTCAAAGAAGGTTCACAACGTTTGGAAAAGTGTGAAGTCCCTAAATTGGGCCAGAGTGGCGGATTATAACCTAAAAGCCTAAGAAGAGACCCGTGTCCAGCGTCTGGTCGTATAAATGGATTAATGATGAAAGTAAACTAACCTAAAAATTACCTATTCCTACTTGCATGTTATAAAATGTATAGGTCAGGTAGAGTAACATATATTTAATAGTAATTCCGAAATATGATAACGTAAATTCTCTGTTTTTTCTTTTTTACCTAAGTAAGAAAAAAAATGTGGAAAAAAGAAAAAGTGCTAGCGCAATAATATTTAATTTTCATTATACACAAAATAATTAATATTGCACACTAAGAGATTTAAGATTTAAGAGATTTTAGATTGTATTTACGTTAATAAAAGTAGTAATTAAAAAAAATAGTGACAGACAAGGAGCACTAAATGCAGCATGAGGAAACGGCCGACATAACATTAACACGAAGAATAAAAATAAACTAGCTGTTATTGACAGTCGTCTTCACAAAGTCACAAATTCGCTTATAGGGCAATGTATAAGCTTCGATAATAATATTCCGGTTAATATTCAATATTTGCCATTTACGACGTTTAAAACTATTTCGCACACGCGCGCGCGCGCGTTCTAAAATGTATTGTTTAATGCACTGAGAGTATAAATACATTTATAATTTATGTGTATTTTACTTATAACACAGAACTACACACTAAACGTTCTTTGATATAAGTAATTATTATAACTAACCAATTGATTCGCCATAAGTTCTCAAATCTCAATAGACTCAGGGAAGTTGCGAGCTTTCCCAGCACAAGCATAAATTTACTTAATGGGAAAATCTCATCTACAATATGTATAAAAGTTGAGAAATAAACACATTTTAATATAATTTTTTATTTTATTTTTATAGTGAAATAAAAACTTTATACTAAACGTTATTATACAGCTTTGCGTACTTGGATGACAAGAATCACTGGTAGTGGTAGTACCCGTTTAGCTCTTGCAGGCAGTCTCAATTTAAGACGATTTTTAAAATATTTAATTTTCTAATAATGTATTTGTTTATTGTTATTACTTATATACGTACTTTATTGATGAGTAGTGAATTTATTCGCAACACTTTCATTACAAATATTCTTTACTTGACCCTTTCCAATTCTTAAGTTTCTATCCTAAGGTTGCCTGGCAGAAATTGCTAGTTAGCAATAAGGCCGCCTGCTTACTCTGTGATACTTACATTACTGTTCTGTGTTGTCATTGTAATTTTCATGTGCAATAACGAATATTTTTTATTCATTCATTTATTCGTAGTTATTACCGTCAATCTGTATTATTTTAAATTTAAAATAGGTCAAAGCTTATATATATAGAGCACAATTGTTGTATGAGTTTTACAGAATTAAGCACTCTGCTTTTGCGAAGGAATAAAAGTAGATTGCGTATTAAACTTGCCTAGGTTATATTTTATGTCATTGCATTTATTTATAACTCATATTAGGGCACCGAAAAAATATCAAAGGAAATTAATGTTTTTGATTAAATAGCCACCCCTATTTATTTTTCAAACAAACCTTCAATGCTTCTCAGCTTAAGGAAATCACAAGACGAACTCAATTAGGATGGATCGCCTTCAATGGGTTGGAAGATGTGTTCATGTCTAGAATCCCTCAATGCCTGAAGACCAAGATGTTCAACCAATATGTCCTACCTATACTTATTTATGTTTCCGAGACATGGCCGCTCACGAAAGAACACGTGCACAAGATTCGAGCAACACAAAGGGCAATGGAGCGCGCCATGCTCGGAATTTCTCTGCTGGACCACGTACCCAATGTAGACATTCGACGTCGCACAAAGGTAGTAGACGTAGGTACGAGGATAGCCAAGCTTAAGTGGAAGTGGGCGGGGCACTTGGCTAGAAGGGACGATGGAAGATGGACGAAAGCCGTTACCGAATGGTGGCCAAGAGAAGCAAAAAGACCAAGAGGCAGATCACACGTCAGACGGATTGATGACGTTAAGGCCGTAGTTGGAAACAACTGGACACAACTCGCAAGGGACCGGAAATAGCAGCGCAATAGAGAGGAGGCCTATACTCAGCAGTGGGTGCAAGCAGGCTGAAATGAAACATTTAATGAATATTATTTGTTTACAATTATCGAGGATTTATAAAAATCATTAGAATTTTTCATTTTTAAAATGATTTTTATAAATCCTGTTGTAAACGGTGTGGCCGAACTTTAATGTGATTACTTTTAAGTAGTCACACTGGCCACACCACAGTATTTAAGACTAACATAAAGATAACAAGTGAAAACATGTTTTTCAACAAATTTTAAAGGGATTCCGAAAATTAAACCCTGCAACTCGCTATGAAATCAACGTAGTTTGCTGTTTTATTTAAAATTAAACAGAAAGGCTTAAACGAGCATGCTATCTGTGATGTATTATTAAAGAAAACACCGTTGTACGCGAATTTCTTAATTATTTTCTCATATTCTTTGATACTTTTCTGTATGACTCAAGGAAAATGGTAATTATCCTATCTGTTTCTTTGCAAATAATCTCTATGCCGAGAAAACTTAACCCTTCGGAGCTACAATTTCAAGATTAATATATACGATTCACAAAAAATAATTTAATAAAACATAAAACACACAGTGCGTTAATAAAATATAATTTGACACTGTTGCTGGACCGTGGTTGTATCCATTTTCTAGGAGCCAGTCAAAATATTCAGATACTCTTGTAAATAGAATAGTATGGTCCAATGTCCTGCCGCTCACAATACCTTCAAGTTGGTCAACCGTTTCGCGAGTAGTCATCGGCATACCTGTACAAACGAGGGGGCCTCCTATGTCAAGACCAGTCATATCCTTCACCGCAGTCTGTGTACATACGAAAGCACTCATATTAATTTCCCATAAAGTCGAGCAGCGTGTCGACGGTATAACAGACACTGGGGTGACCATAATCGCGGGAGTAACTCCTTTACCGTCACGAAGTGGTACATTGGCGTAACCAGCTGACACGCAATTGTCTAGCTTATCCACGCTCCGTGTTGCTGGTCGTATATATCCCACGTCATCGTTTAACAGAAATGGTATGTTCACCAGTATTATTGCGATATCATTGGTAGGAAAATAAAAGTGTTCGTGAATTTTTATATCTACTATTGTTCTCCATTGAATTGTGACATAGTCGTCATACTCGAGAAAGTAATCAGTTCGGGCGACGAAGTTACCTTGGTTGCCTGCCGCTACCCGCAAACGCCGCGGATCTTGAACGTACGTGAAGTTATCGTATTCAAAACAATGAGCAACTGTTAAAACCCTAGATTGGTCGATAATGCTGCCTATACACATGTTAATCCAGAACGTTTCAGCGTCTGTCCTCACATTATTCTTGACAACTTTATTCTTTGCAGCAGGTTCTTTGATGACAACTATGTATGGCACTTGTCCAGGTAAAGCAGGGGTTCTGGTCACCAGTACCGGAGTATATTTAACTTTTGTATGATTCAGTGTTGTAATGATTCGGTTGAAAACTTTGCATTCGAAGAATGGGGTTGTTAACACAATCAAAATCACAGCAGAAGCATACATTCATTGGAATTTAATAACGCAACAAACCATATAGAAAAATAAAATCTTACGAACATCACAAAGAGAATATCCAAAGTCTATTTTAGTCTAAAGAGAATTCTAAATAAGAACTATAGACGTAATAAAAATCTCTTTTGAATAACAGAATGTAAAAGTGGTTTTCGATATGTTTTATGGGTAGTGACATAGATTTAGCATTTGTGTAGGGGAGAGCGGGGCTGAACGTTCCGATTTTCAAAGAAGTTGAAGTTTCGTACTGAAAATGAAGGATTTGATTTTCCACATGTGGAAATATTGAACATATGTTTATCGCTTTTTGTAATAGTATAGTCACTTTTTTTGACAAATTTCGGAGCGGAACATTCAGCCCCGCTTTGGGGCGCGTTGTTCCGCCTTTGAGGCAAATTGTTCCGCCTAGATTATAACAGTATAACAAAGATTTTCTTAAATAAAACCACCTTTTTTATAATTGTTTGTAAAAGTTTGTTTGTTTGTTTTATATTATGCACAAATAACTTTAAAAAAAAAACAACTACATTCTTATACACCAGTTATATTATTCATCGCTCATTTCTTCATCTGAATCACAGTTGAGACACACAATAGTGACTCTATCATCTTGTTTAAATATTTGACATGAGCCCATTTTTAGTTTCGCATCCTTAAAAGAAAGAAAAATGGTCATAAAAATTTTAAATATGATTGGAGGTCAATTGGGGAATTGTTCCTAGGAACAACCAGCCCCTCGAGGGAGAAACTTATAGCCCCAAATTACGTTTTTATACGAAAACTGACATACCGGCAAAGTAATAGAATCAATCAAAAAAATACTCAAACAATAAGATTCCTTACTAATGTCACTACAATTTAGAAAAGTTACGTACGAATCGTAATAAACAAAGACAGACCAAAAAATTTAAACAACAAAAAATTTACTTACGTGATATTTTGACAGCTCTACGCACATAGCCACACATCGTCGCCGGAATAACTGAAATGACTGCCGACAAGACGCATCACCTGACGCTTTAACGACGCGCTTCAAATGTATTGCTACATATTTTCCTTGCAAAGTTATTGCTGTGAGAACAACTTACCCCGGGAACTACCAGCCCCGGTCTCCCCTACCTTACTTTTTTCCATCCTCTAAGGTTTCCATCCTACTAAGATGGCTAATAGTTTCCATAGTCTAAGTTAGGTATGCACGTTCACTCCGTAGTTAGGGCAGTTCCTTTCTTTTATTTTTTTTCCATCCTCTAAGGATGGGTACCTATCTTTTGTCTCTAACATAATATCGATCTCTGATCGAACATTTGGGATTTGGCAAACATAATAAAGACTTCTTAAAAACAAAATTAGAAATATTGCGTCCTAATGTTCTCCTTGGCCTTTACTGAAATAGGAGAGGATCAAGGGCTGCCCAAGCAAATGGCGTATACATCAAAGAAAATTAAGACAAACGATAGATAAAGCAGTTTGTAATTAAAGAGGGTCTCCCGTCAAGAGGTTATTATATCCAGAAGCCGAGACATTTTCTGCTATTATCATATTATACCGTTTGAATACTCATTCAACTTCAACATGATTGGCCAAGATTCGCTCGATTTTACTTGTCAATACCTATAAATCATGGAATTAAACCATACTTTCTTTGATGTCAAGTCTGTTCTGTCCTGTAATAGGCAAAGATAGATCTCAAATTATTATAACTTTTGTTTATTTTTTTAGATCGACCAATATCGTAATTACGTTACATTTTGTAGAATTACGGTATGCTCTGTCTTTACATTGCATTGGTTCACCAATGTAAAGAAAGTAGATGCAGCAAGTGTACCTATCTACAGTAGGGTACTTCTATATAAAAACAGATACAGTAATTTGATTAAAAGTAGTCAGAATTCAAAGTCTCATATAAATCAACCACATGAATTACTGTAAAAAAAAAGTGAGTAAAAATCCTCTCAAATCCCACTCATATTTTATTATTATTAAGGAGGGTTATGTTTTTCGAGTGTAAATGTATGTATGTCCATTTCTACGTCATGCTGTACAGCCTAAACGGCTCAATGGATTTTGCCAATTGAGTTGTCGCTATGGCTATAAAAAATTATCGAAATGATGTGGTGGAGGTATTAGATATGAGGGTATTTTTATTTTTTGGTGTCCTTATCTTACGCTGGCTAAACCAAAAGAGATAAATCAAATTAAAAGAATTACGGAATTATAGGTCTTAAAAAAATCTACAAAAAAGTCCAAGAAAGCATTGGTCTATCTCCTAAGCATAACAAACAATAACCACTTTTGTCTTTCGAAATTTAATACTATTACTTTCCTTAATAAAAAGATATCTCAAAGCCAAAATCGAAACATTTATTGCAATCACGTTGCTACATTTATAGGTCTTAAATTATTGATACAGATCAACACGAATCCTGTAAGGGCGTAGCATTGACAATTGTAACATTAAATATAATTTGAATTACGTTTACAATTACTGAGAAATTATTACAATCGTCAAAGAGTAATATTAAATATGATCAAGTAGTGATAGTATAATAATAAATTACAGATTAAAACAATAACTACTTCATGTCAAAGCATTCTACATATAATTAAATTGAACATTGGTCAACTGAGCGCCCAGTTGCACAACGCGGACTCCGCTCTTCGGCCGCGCGGCGGCCGCGCAGGGTGAGCGCGGTGAAATTCGTGTTGAATAAATGCGCCCTTAGTTTTTCTAAATAATTAGCGTAATAATAATTTACAAATTTATTTAAAAAATATATTTTTGGATTATATTTTGGATGACATAGTAATAATTCTTATCTAATTCAACATGTTACATATATTAAATAACAAAATGTAGTAGTAAATAAAAAACACTAGCAAGCAAGCGAGTCTATGGTCCGCGTTGAACCTTTACAACACTGTATTCGACCCGAAAAGGCTCATCAGACGCAAATTCGACGACCCGAAGATACACGCCGATATGAAGCACTGGCCGTTTAAAGTCTGTGTCAAACCGAAGAAGAATTCAAAGAGGAGACAAAAAGGTTCTCCCCTGAAGAGATTAGCAGTACGGTGCTGACCAAAATGAAGGAGAATGCAGAAGCGTATCTTGGCTCCACAGTACGTGATGCCGGCATCACAGTTCCGGCTTACTTTAACGACGTACGACAACATATGGTCTCGACAAGAATTTGAAAGGCGAGCGAAATGTTCTTATCTTCGATCTAGACGGTGGTACCTTCGACGTGCCTATTCTTACTATCGACGAGGGTTCTCTGTTCGAAGTTAAAGCTGCTGCAGGCGACACACATCTGGGCGGCGAGGATCTCGAAAACAGATTGGTGAAACAACTGGCAGAAGAGTTCAAACGCAAATACAAAAAAGATATGCGCGGCAACTCGCGACCTCTAGGACGACTTCCCACGGCTGCCGAACGCGCCAAGCGCACACTATCATCCAGCACAGAAGCTACTATTGAATTCGATGCGCTCCATAAGGGAATAGACTTGGTACAGGCAACGCCGATCAGGTTACAGTCCCGTATCCGGCTCTAGTCGTTTACAAGTAACGATGCCACATTCGACGACGTAATTTTTTATGTATGTAATTAAACGGATCATTAGAAATTATCCGGAAATTAGAACGGATAGGAATAAGAGGACAGCCCCTAAAATTGCTAAGTGACTACTTACATGGTCGAACTCAACTAGTGAGACTTGGAAAATACATGTGTAATGAGGCAGATATTACTTACGGGGTGCCCCAAGGAAGTGTCCTCGGCCCAACGCTCTTTCTACGGTGTAATCGTATGGAAATACAGAGGTTGCTTCTACCAAGTATCTTCGAGTCATGCAATTAGTTTTGTAACTTAGAAATTAATAGTTTGTTTCATACAATTATAAGATAAAGGAAGAGCGGGATTTCCTGTCACAGGTGGATGACACCTACTACTAGGAAGTCCCAACGTTTTTCAACATTTTAAACTTCGTAATAAGCTTTCGTATAATAAACAGTCGCGTAGTATCCTACTTGCTACTATGACGGCCATACCACTGAACGTCTGTGGTCGTATTGTTTTGTTTTTAATCAATTGTATTGATCGTATTAATTGAATTGTTAAACAATCAGTGCCCATATAATTATTTTTGGAATAACATGACTGTTGCACCTGTTCCACCGAAGTTAGATTGTCTCTCTAAGAAAGAGCTGCTCCTCTTTTCCCGCGTAAAACATTTTATAAAGGCGTTTGAGCGGTCGTTATGGACAACAAGATTTTAAAGGGCAGGCCATCCTCTTTGCTCAACAAATTGAAAAGGCAATAGAGCAGCTTCCAATTAATTGATGCAGCGAGTGCAGGAATAAGTACAGAGACATTGGAAAATATAACTACTAATCGAAGGTTCTCGGTGGATATTGACAAAATTAAAAGGCGTTAGACTGGCCAGTGCTTCATAGTCACTCGTATTCGAACGTGCGCCTTAATTCAAATGTAAGAAATGTAGAGCTGGGATCAAGTGCAAAGGTGGCTATCGTGACTTTACATAATAAACTTGAGGTTAGAGATAAGCCACAAAATCATTTTAAACCATTGGGAAATGACCAACACAACTTGCATGGGTCTTTACGCCAGGGTTGCAAACAATTTGAAGCGATATCTAGTAGTGGGCATTGCACGGCAAATGCTGCGCCTTAATCTTGCTATCTTTAGTTTCAATTTCAAGTTAGTTCACCATACAGCTTACTTACTTGCCACTACTTCACTGGAAAACTTGTTCCATAATAAACTAAAAAGTTTGAAATTAACTGAATTATTTTAAAAAACAAAAATCCGACTGCAAAAAAAATGTTTTATTCTCAGCAATTCCATGTACTCAGTTCAACATGGAACTATTGAAACCCAAAAGTTCCATGCATAGAACTAGTGGGTATAAATAATAACTCAAAAGAAATAAACAAGCTCTTTAACATAAAGAGCTTTGTTTGAGCAATGAGAATGTACTATGCATGCGATGTGTTTTGTTCAGTACCTACTTACTTAAGTGAATTATTAATATTAGAATTCATTATGGTCATTGACAAAGGTACTTAGGAAGTTGTTCACTTAACTACAGAAAATATGCAGTTGACACCCGATTTAAACAAATAATAAAATATATTATAATATAAATATAACTTAGATTTAATTAGGAGACCAGGCGGGGATAAACAAAAATTATGAAACCTACGTTATTAGTTTATCCCGCCCACACTGCAGCAACCACGCATCTGCAGATTTGAAGGTGAAAACATTCGCATCCCTATCTGCAGATATCGCCATAACCCACATATGCGGCATCCTTAGTCTATCCATCAATGATTAAAGCTTAAAGCTAGGCGACTCTAGGCGGTTATTAACAGTTAATAACAAGCTTCAGCAAATTTCACTGCGGTCCTAAAATGTGAATCAAGGGCAATCAATGGCTTGTAATCAGAAACAAGTGTCAATTTTATACCATGTAAATGTTGGTCAACTTTTCGATTCCGAAAAATAAAGAGCTTCTTGATTTATAACTGAACATTTAGTATTCACTAATCTTATTTTCCTTGTAGCAAAAACGATGGTTTTAATTTTGTCAACCGCCTTATAATATGGCATAACACCCACGCTCATTTCCAAAGCATTGCAGGCTAAGATCAACGGATGTTCCTCGTCAAAAGCGACAAGAGGCTTTGATCTACTAATAAGGCCTTTTGCATCCTCAAACACTATATTTTCTTTGTCGATTAATCACCACTTCTGGGAACCACTATGCCTCAGATCCGCACAGACGATATGCGATGTGGTATACATTTACTGAGAAAATGTATGAGGAAAAATCAAAAACGACCGTGCTTCTTGAGCGTTAGTAACCGGTCTCGCGCTTGTTATCGCCTCGCGCTGGTCGGTCGAAAATGGTCGAAATCTGTCATTGCGTTTTTTTTTATAATACCAAGCGACGCGACGAATAAATAGTGCGCCTGATGGTAAGCTACACGCCGTTCCATTACAATTGCAGTGCCACTCAGAGCTTTAAATCGCAAAAATCTGAGGGGCAGTGCCATGAGGCATAAGTTGACAAGTCCACCGGTCACCCAGTGGCATAAGTTGACAAGTCCCATGTGCTTGTAATTTCACCAGTACCCTTACCCTTAAAAACCGGAACGCAGTAATGCAAACATTACTGCTTGGCGGCAGAAATAGGTAAGGTGGCAGTACTCCCCGGTACAAACTCTGGCTTATTATATGCCATAGATAAAATATGAAATAATGAAAACAACTGTATTTTTATAATGTCAAACGACAGACATGTCGAAAGGTCACCATGAAATATTACATTTAAGTTTAGGAAAATTAATTATAGTGTGTTTCACTGTTTCGTACTTAATATAATATATTAGATAGGTACAAAGCACAAAGAAAAGAATAGAAACTTCTAAAAATATCGGCATTATCATTTCATACCCACGAAATACTTACTTCCTTGCAGTATAATAAACTGCAAAGTGCACGTGGACCGGCTAGATGTCCGGCGAAATTTCCAGATCTGATACCATTAGCTTTCTTTTTCTGGGGATGTTTTCACGTATCCCTAATAAGAGAAAATAAAAATTATACAAGAAGCAATTTGACAATGTAATTCTTTTAACCCTGACCCTTCGACCGGCATTATAAAAATACAGGGTTTTTTTTAGATTTTGTGATTTCGATTCCCAGATGAGTCTATCAGCAACTTTTAGAAATTTTTGGATGTAGTATTACTTATACTGTGAAATATAAAATAACTGCTACTAAAAGTAAAATATCCTATCTATTATATTTAAAATACTTTACCTCCGTGTCCCATAGCCATGAAACGCCCTGCATATGAAAATTTAAATTTCACCAAAAAGATGATTTAAATGTCTTCTTTTCCTTAGATATTTTTTTCCATCCTCTAAGCTTCTTTTCCCACCTTTTTCCCACTGTCTACAAATATTCTCATAATATTCCAGTGTTTTTTAGTTTTGAATTTTTCACGCTGATAAGACAACTAATACCTTTTTGAATATCTATAGTATAATACTCTTTGGTATGTAATATTTGCTCTCTTGTGAGTTGTATTATTCTATGTATATCTTAGAGGATGGAAAAAATGTATATGCTCTACATTTTGACATAATATGTCATAGCTCCAAACACAATTAAAATAGTAATTATGGTTATATTTCGACCAAAGGAGGCGATTTTTTTAACAACGGGCCATTCGTTCCTTGTTTGAGATTATTTCTTTACACGAATATGTCAGAATCTCACAAAAAGGGCTACCACGCCACGTGACATTAGTCCACCACAGTTAAAATTATAGTCCTACATTCATTGCAAGGTCTGCACTACAGGTGTATAAAGACTTTCAGTTTGAATGTCTATTGAAAGCTACTTAGCGTTTGTTATGATAATAATAACACCTGCAGAATCCGAACACGTATTAACTACATTGAAATATTCAAGTCGCTACCGCGTTAAGCCTACAGTAGTGAATGGTGTAACCGCAGAGTCTGGAGAAACACCTTACGTCGTGTCTATAAAAGAACCTCAAATAGAAATTGGCCAAGTGGAAAAGTATTGGAGCAATATTTGTGGTGGAGCAATATTTGGAGAGAATCTGGTACTCACTGCAGCCCATTGCTTCGAAGAGAATGACTTTATATACGCTAAGCGTCCACAAACATTGCGTGTCGTAGCGGGCGCATTAAAAAATCATTTGCGACGTGAAAAACTATTCAATACCCACGACCAATGGAGGAGTATATCCAAGGTGATTATTCACGAATATTTTCATTTTCCAAACAACGACATAGCAATACTGTTCCTTAGAGACCCCTGGAAATTTTCTACCACAGTGCATAGTGTAGCGCTTGCGGCGCGATCAAAGGATCATTACCGCGAATGCTGGACGGCCGGCTACGGAAGGGTGGGGTACGAAGTAGGCGACCAGGTGTCGGAAGAGTTGCTAATCGCGCGCGTCAAGACTATGCCTAGCTGGCAATGTACCACATTCTGGGAAATGAATATGGACAAGTTCATATGTTCCGATTCTACCATAAGTGATGTGAGTCAGGGTGATTCGGGCAGTCCTATGGTGTGCACTGCTGTCTCCAGCAACGACAATCATCCCATAGTGGAAGGAATAGTATGTGGTAAAAACTTCGACAAGACAACATTATACACACGAGTATCTTCGTTTCACGATTGGATCAGCAAAAACATGGCTTCTAAAACACGAAAACGCTATATCATGTTGATCATTACAATGTTTTTAACAAATTAAACAGTTCTAATATTAAATAAAACAACGAGTATGAATATAAAATAATTTAATAATAACAAACAATAATCTGCATTTTATAAAACACCGGCATTACATACCATTATATTATCGTAGTCATCATGCAAGTTTATTTGTCAACATCTTTACATCCAGTCTATGAAGTAAAAATAATACAGGTAGTTTATGAAACAGATTGCTGAGTGAGATAAATAAGAAGTTGAAACGACTGTAGTACGCATAGACTTATGCGGAAGAAGCATAAAGAATTAGTTTTCCTACAATCTCGACAGCTAGCAGTCGGAGTTATATTTCATTATAGTTACTAGTTACTTAATGGTCATTCGAGGAATGTTGTAGGAACTTGATACAAACCATTGTTAAACTTCTTTAATTTTACTACTTTTCACCACGATTACAGCATATATGTATGCCATAGATGAGATAAGAAGTGCAAAACTAAAGTTGTAACGCAGCTTGTGCCAGAGACGTTGTAGATCTTTCTGTATTTAGTTGGAAGCCCTATTGTGATTGTAAAATATACATACTAATGTATCTCACTCATATTAAGTCAACTGAGCAAACTACTGTTCTGGGTCAAATTTTATCAATTAAATTCTGTTAATTTCTTTGTCACATTTGGTATTTGTTCATATTTTATAATAACTATGTATTAATATAATCATATTCTTAAGTCTAGAATACTTCGCTTAAAAAATAGAATAAAACTTATCTATTAATTTGATAAGCTAAAAGAATAATATATATAATTAACATGATTAAAATTGATTACTTCTGTAGAATAAGTAAACACTTATCACAACAATTATTAGTCTATTAGTACATCGGTAGAAGTTTTTTTGTTTAACAAGTGTAAGGGCGCCTCTAATCTAAAACGCTTATTGAAGCGCTGCAGTGGCGCCACAGTGGCGCTGTAGCCACTACTATAAATTTTCATTCAGTATTTAGAAGCGCACATGCAGCGCCACCCTCGTGACACGCGCCACCATCGCAGTCACAATAGTGAGCTAAAAATTACTACTCTATTCTACTGCAGCGCTTCTACAAGCGTCTAATTTGAAAGCGCTCTAAAAATGAATTCCTTAACCCTTAATTGGTCGCGTGTGGGGTTTGTCACCCCATAGCAGGTTCCTCGGCTCATAAGTTTTTAAAATTGGATGTAGACGAAGTTCCGTAAGGTAAGTAAAATTAATTGTTTTTATTATTACGCATTTAAATAATGCAATTGGACAAACTATGTTGCAGTGATATGTATAAAAATGGTACAAAACAAATATATTGGCATTTTAAAGGTTTTGTTGTAATGAGTTATTTTTTTGTTTTAAGGTAGCTGTAAAATGTCATGTGCATCAACTAATCGAGAGATTGCACAGCAGTTGGAAGACGAAGAAATAGCTTCTTCGATTTCTTTGATTCTGAAGGTGAACAACATCATAAAATCATCGTAAATTACCATAACAGTGCATCAGAGCAAAATGGAAACAAAAGCGACGGGATTCGCACACCACCTCTACCGCTACAAAAACGACAAGTGGTTTGAAAGTGCGGATCCTGAATCAGAATTTGGAGCAAGCCGATCGCCTTCATATAAACGATGCCGTATTAAGTCCTAGATCAAGGCCCAAAAAACGACGTAATGATCAATGATTCTAGTCTGCAAAAATTGTATTGAATAAAATTAGCTTTTACACACGTTATCGTTTTTTTATTACTAATATGTTTTATAATTCAAAAAGATATAAGTTAGAAAATAAGTGTGTTCAAATATTTTCGTTAATAAAAGTCTGATTTTGCATGTATTTAGTACTATATTTCACGATTATAATTTGGGTTGTTGCACACCCCACACGACCTATTGCGTAACTTTTTTGGCTCGACTAATTAAGGGTTAAAACAGTAACAATTTATAATTCGGTTGTTTTTTCTATGTTTTTTATTTGCTGAAACCGAAATTATAACAAAAAATGTTAGGCTTTTCTTTTGCAATAGTTACTACAAATAGATACGTCAGTATCGCAATTGTACGTTTTGAACAATCACTTGACAGTAATAAGGTACTCTAGTTCCGTGAGGTTAATTTTTACTATAACTCAATAAGAAGAATGTGTCAAATTTTTCAATTGATTAATTCGTTGAACTTAAATTTTAACCTAACCCAAGCTGTGATTAACCACTCGTTGAACTCCACCGTAACTAAGAAGACTTCAAAAAATAGCGATTGAACTCAATAGATCAAAATTTACTTAAATATATAACATAATTAATTACTTAATTACCACTACACTTAAAGTCAAATGCTATACTTAATTTCTTATACATTATAATAAAAAATAATAATTTGATCTTAGCGTTAGGCATTTAAATTTGATAAGACTCCATTCCTAAATCTGTAACATTAATTCCTTAATTAAACCAAGGTTACCGTTGTTCTGTTACTTAAAAATACGTAAATAATGCGACGGTTGTATTTATATATTCAATGACTTGTATTGGTCTCAATATATATGGTCCTATGAAGCTTTTTAAATAAAAAACCAATCGTAAGTAGAGTCAGCTTGCATTTAGTAGACACAAGTGAAACTATCACAGACCAATGTTGATCTTACTGACAATGCCTAAATAACCAGATTTATATTATATTTTTTTAGTAAATTGTCATAGTGCGACCAAATTTACACAAATGTTGTTTCATAAAACAGTAGTTATGCTAATGTATATATTCGCAGCATATTATTTTTTTCACATTTTCACATGTGTTATATACATATATGAATAAAAATAATGTTCGTCGAAATTAAAACGTGATGATAGGAGTATATATTATTCGTTGAAGTTCGTTTGCAACATAAAATTATTTTTTTTTGCGAAAATTTTATAAAACTGTTTACAGAATTTATAGACAATCAAATACATCACTTGTTTACTGATGATGGAGACATTTACTATTTTTTTGAAACACCAACTGATCTTTATTTATTTTGTTCAACTTACACTGACAATGCTTAGAACTGCACATGTAAGAGTTGAGTAGATCACCGGCCAAAAGTAGGCTGCGGAATTTGGACCACAGAGCATTAGGCAGTGACTGTCTCCAAATAGTAACCAGTTTTTTACAAATTTAGATTCAGTGTTACTGTACACGTCAATCTTCCGAGAGTTACATTATTATACTGTATCGCAACGTTAGGTATGGCGTAAAAAATGTCCCGTTTGAAAAGAAAGAGTATTAAAAAAAAATATTACGTAGACATGCGAACGAAAAAAGCTTTACAATATACAGTCTTATTATAGGTGTTTTATACAATGCAAAATATTTAACAAACTTTTGACTCTTTCTCGTTAATGGCGTGGTGTTCTAATATATTCCTTATGCTTCTAATAACAGGAATGCAGGTTATAGTCGACAATTGTCAAATTGCTTACTTATCTTGTAACTGTACGTAGTTGGCTGGGAACAATCCGTATGCACCTTTACATAGGCCCTGCCACCACCCTTCGTCAATCTGGAACAAGAAAATATTATTGTCAATTATTAGTTTTCATACAATATCTGGAAGTGGCAAGCGTGCGCTACTTTTGCGATTCGCCTCTGGACGAACGTACAGCCGTCGCGCCCATTTCTGCCGCCAAGCCGTAGTGAGAGCATTACTGCGTTCCGGTTTTGAAAGGTAAAGGGCGCCGGTGAACACACTTGGTATAATTAAAAAAGAAAAACGCTCACCATTTTGCATTCGAAGTTTCCTAAGCGCTAAGTAATCGAAATAGCTTAGTACTAGAGGTACCCTTGGCGGAGCATTATTTGTTAACATATCGTTGGTTAAAAGGTAAAACTCAATAAATTCCACTTTGCTGAACATCTCACATTATAAAATTTCATTTCGAAAAAGTTACAATAACGGACACAAAACATTATCCCTTTACAGTTAAAACACTAAAACCTGATCGCCAACAAAGCCGAAGCAAGAAGGGAAAACGATAAACATAAAAGCTCCAGCTCTAACCGTAAGAACTCCAGCCATATGGGTCCTAAGAATAGTCGCAGCAGCCCGTCAACAACATCGACAAACATCGCAAATCTCACCGCGGTAGCGACAAGCCTTCAAAGACCAACGACAACCACAAGGACGTCAATAAGAACTCCAACCCTCCCACAAGCGCTCAAGAGACGACACCGCAGGTTCTAAGAAAGCTAAGAAATAAACAGCCGCGAGGATACTTTTGCATTTATAATCAAACGGGTCTTAAATGATGCAAGGGCACGCCTCTTGCGGACCGGAATTGTTTACCGAAATGTTTGATTATGTTGTATTGTATTTGTAACCCAGTGTCCATCTGCAATTCATGTTCAAATCAGGTCTGATGGTGGAGGACGTTATGTTATGTTTATTTCCAATTGTAATTTAAATTAGACATCGTGACAACTAAATGTAGAAATGTGAAATCTTTATTAGCCGATTTGGGTTTTTAGTGAGTTTTACCTTTAAACGACGATAATATCAAAGTTACATAATATGTGTCGATTATTATAAAGGTGGTGTCAGTCCATATATTAAAACACATATTTTTTGCTTAAAAGTATCACAATTAGTCATGTTTCATCATTGACTTACAAATAAATGGACGTCGGATCCGCGCTAAAAAGTGTCCGAACTTACAGGGCGTTAAAATCGTATACAGAGCGACAATCACGCTTTAGTCTTCGTTTGTTCGACTGACAGTGCACTTGTCAATGATGCCGTATTGTGTAGTAAAACCTTGTAAAAATTACTCAACTAAAGTGAAAAAACAGGATGGTATATCATATTTTCAGTAAGTACTACATTGTGTTATCATAGTTATCATTTAAAAGTGTTATTTTATGCACTAGTTTTTAATTTATTTTTAAATTAATTGTAAATATTATTTACAAAAGCAATCAAAATAATCAAATAGCTAAATGTCTCTTTCCGATTCATTGCTTGCGTAAAAGACTGACCGAGACCCATCACGTCAATTTCAATTGTTTGAAACACAAGCGTTTGAAATAATTAGAACAAAAATTTCATAGAGTCGCTTTGATGCTAATGTTATTATTAAAATATTTTTTAATACATGTTAGTAATACTTTCAAATATTGTTGTACTCTTTCTACGGCTCGAGGTTACGAATCAGAAGACCGAAAATAGATTTGCTCGAAATAACGTTTGCATGAATTTCCATAATCCCGAAAGTATTTTTTTAGGTTTTTCGGGAGAAATATGTGTATGACCTACATTCATTTCTCTCGTGAGTTTGGGTGTAATTTGTGGTTGTCTATATGTGTGTCCATGGCACCCGCGACACAGGGTTTCCCTAATGCGGGGCAATGTTGAGTGTGTGCGTTATTATAATTCTTATTATTAATTAGTACGTAAGTGTTTATTTTTTTTTATTTTGGAAAGCGTTTCTCTTGCGCAATCAATATCGCGCATTTTAATTTTGTGATTATCTCACAACGGCAAATAACCTACTACCGTCATAGCCGTACTTTTTCATGCACAAGAAACATTTCCATGAACTATGAGCAGTACGACTATGCCTGTTGACGGAATCAACCGTCGTCAGTGATAAACCGTAACAATTATATTGAATCAATGTAAGCACTGCGGCATATAGAAAAGTGGTGACGTTTTTGAGCGCAGTATAATTTCAGTACTATGCACGAACGGGTTAAGAAAATGGTAAGAAAAGCCTAACGGTTTGCACTGTGGGCACTGGATGTGAAGTTCCCTGGTTCGATACCGGTAGGATCAATTTAACAAATTAACTTTTCGAAATAATTCTGGTCTTGGTATTCTATTGTAAGACAATCACCTGGTCTGAAACTAGGGAACTCTCTGTACATACTCCCCATGAGTATCAGAGTAACAGAATCCCAGAGCAGAACCAATTTACAAAAGTTCATTTCCCAAACTGGTTCTACTGGGAATCGAGTCTGGGATCAAGAACGATGGAATTTATTCTGGGGCATAACTCAGAACACCCAGGCCAAAACCAACTTTCGAAAAGTTCACATTTAATTTTATAGTTGATTGAGCTGATTTTTTACGGTTTTAAAAAAAATTCTCGAATAACTCGAGAAATCGGGTACGAGAATTCTCGAAACTCAAGAAAAAAAAAATCAGACATCCTAGCTCGTAATAAATGGCATTGTATAAAATAAAAAAAAAAAATTTATTTATAAATAATAAAGGCTACTCCATTATACCTGTGTTCAAGCAGTTTTCACTAGAAGCTACATATGGTGCATTTTGGTAAGTTTCCAGTAGAAGCTGAATATGGTGTTTTTTGCGCCTTTCAATTGTTGCAAGCAAAATTAGGCAGTACTGCAATGACATTACAATTTATATTCAACGTTTTAGCTTTTTCATATTCCTTTACATGTCACTACGTTTAAATAGGTTTACTTGGGACATTTTTTTCGTGGTTTTTTTGTATTAGACCCGTCGTCCATTTATTTGTAAGTCAATGTGTTTCATTAGAAAAGTGAAGCAACTCCAATAGATGCACTAACATCCCATAGATGGCACTACTAGTTTACTCAGAGAACTAAAATTACTAGACATTAATTTGCTAAAAGCTCATTATTTCAATATTTAATTACACGGACATAATTCACTTTTACAATGAACGACACATATTCTATTCTCCCCCTTACGCTAATGACAGATAGATAAACAGAAAAAGCATTTTAACAAAAAAACAAAGATTACAACAAATAATGTACTGAAAAGGTTTCGGTTCAGCACAATGCTGCCAACTTTATATATTTGCAGCGCTGATATTCTGCCGACACCTAAATGTTTGCGCAAGCGAGCTGCGCGCAGCAACGGACAGTCGGCGGCAAGTCAAGTGCAACAGTTGCACTACAAATCCGCTACTATTTACAGATGGAATAAAAACGCGCTCAAGGTCAAACTGCTGCATCCGAAGCGCCGCCGTCCGCAAACAATTTACTTAAATAAAAATGAGAAGGTATTACAAGTATATCTCACCATGACAATGTTTGTAATTATGTCGTCGGGGTCGAACGAGATCTCGTCGGGAGCGGCGGCTTGGTAGTCGTAGAGTGCACGCGCCGTGTACCCGTCCTCGTCATCCGCTTCTGCCTCCGAGTTCTCCACTTCCCAGCCAACTGGCGACACTACTATCGTGGGCTGCCGGGTTATCTGTTCATCAACACGAGTCAATAAAATATTATTTCGGAAATAAAATAATGCAAAGTGATACGTACCACTGATGAGTTAAAGATAGAAATAAATTTTCCGAAATCAGAGATCATCAATCCCACTTACACGAATATAAATTTTGGTAAAACATTGTAATCTTGTAGCTTCTTAGTAGCAGTAGAGCTCCTTGTTATAGTTCGTCCAGAGAAGTACTGCCACCTTATCTATTTCTGCCGTCAAGTAGTAGTGTGAGCATTACTGCGTTCCGATTTTGAAAGGTAAGGTGCTGGTGAAATTACAAGCACATGGGACTTGTCAACTTATGTCTCAGGTTGACAGTGTCCATCAGATCTTTATGATTTAAAGTTTGAATGGCACTGCAACTGTTATAGACAGGCGTGTAGCTTACCATCAGACGCACGACATTTTCGTGCCGTCACTTAGTTATTACCTTATAGTTAAAAGCGGTAGCCCCGGTGTGACAACAGACAACCAATAATAATAACAAACTAGTACAATATTTTCACAAAAAATATGAATGTCATAAGAAAAACATCATGATATTCAATAAATAAGTATCCCTATATATCTGTATTTTTAAACCATAGTATAACAAGACACAAGATACAGCGTAATTCCATAAAACTTGCATGTGTGCACGCTCGCCGCACGCCTTGTACGGACGCGTACATTCGCATAATCTCGCGGAGCGCTCGAGTCGCATGCACCATTCATAATAAAATTGCAAGCGTTCGCGCGGTGTGTAAAATATTTAAAATATTTCACTAAGTCAAATTTACCAATTTTCATTCATAAATGTGTAATTATGTATACACAAACTCACATTTCATGTCAATCTTATGATCATACTACATAATCGACATACAAATCCACAACGCTGGTATAAAAATGTCAAAAGATACGGCATTTGACGAAGGTTATTTCAATGTACATTTAATAATAATCATCATCATCATATACAGCCTGACTTCACCCAATGCTGGGTATAGGTCTCCAAGTTTCTGTGCCACTCCCCACGATCCCGGCCAATCTCATCCAGGTTCGCCCCCCAATTCCTGCGATGTCCTCCGCCCATCTCGTCGCTGGACGCCCGACGTTCCTGTATCCAGTCCTTGGACACCACTCAGTTATCGTCTTACTCCATCTGTCATCTTGTCTCCGTATCAGGTGCCCTGCCCAGCACCACTTTAGCTTCGTAATGCGGTTCCCCATGTCCTTTACCTTAGTTCGACTTCGGATCTGGACATTGGGAACACGGCCTATATAACACATTTAATAATACCTTAATTTAAATGCTTTTTACTGAATATGGGGATGTTTCACCACCATGATTTCAATTACTTTTTGTGAAATGACTCCACTAGTTCATTATAATTTTAACAAAAACATCGAACACTTAGAGAAAATTCCTTCGATCCGGCCGGATTCGAACCGACGTCTTCAAGCAAACCGTGCTAGACACTATGCCAACTAAGCCACGGAACGAACCAGCGGATCTCATGTATTTTTCTATATGCTTGTTGTCTGGTTTTAAACGACTTTTTAGCCGTAGCGCCATCTATGAGAAATGTATGAAAGTATTTCGTCACCCAGTTAGGCACCTTTACAGTTACCAGCCTTAATTTTGCAATTGATATTTTGCAACCAGTAGTCATAAAACTAAAATAATAATGTTCGCGCGAGGGACGTGTAGGCATCGACGCACCAAACAGGCGGAAGTTACACTACTTGCCTTGTTATAAATAAACGCAATTATTCTTTTATCAAAACCTTATTCTACATATTGCAACAATGACAGTATATTTCAGTGTGTGCGTTTACTAAGTACCTCTTCTTTATCCTTCTGCTGATGATCAGGTTCTCCAACCCGGGTAACATCAGGTAGATTCTGTTTAGGTTCCTCGGGCTGGCTTCCAGGCGCTTCTTGCACAGGAGCGGGCGTAGGGACAGGTACAGGAGCGGGCGTAGGCGGTGTAGCGGGAGCTGACTGAACGACGTTCGCCGAAATGCGCTCTTTTACCGGCTGAAACTCTTCATGCTGCGGCTCCTCAGCTTTCTCTTGACCCCAACGTGCTTTTTCCTGCAAAACAAATCCTGGTACTAAAATTGATCAACAATATATTTTTAATACAGGAAGTTAAGGGACGGACAAGCCGTCCGTCTGGTTGTAAGCGACACGCCTGTCCATAGCAGTTACAGTGCCACCCAGGGCTTGAAATCGCAAAGATCTGAGAGGCACTGCGACTGTGCCCGTTACCCTAAGACAAAAATTGACAAGTCCCATGTACCCGTAATTTCACCAGCACCCTTACCCTTCAAAACCGAAACGCAGTAATGCTTGGCGGAAGAAATAGGCAAGGCGCCAGTAGTACCGTCGTAATCATAAACAACGTAACCGACATTTTTAGCGAAATTAACTTTTGACGTATTATCTGGAATCAGCGACAACCTCTAAGTGCTTTTTTTATTTCTTACTTAATTTCAGTTTTATTGCTAAGCAAAATCAGCGTAATTGACAAGTTTCAAAGAAAAAAACTATAGGTGCCAATATTTCGAAAGTTACCAAAACGTAAATGAAAACCAGTGTTACAGCAGGTGAACGGTAACACTAAGGCGCCTTTTAGACGCATGCCTAGAGCAAGGGCGGTTTCCAAAACGCTGGAAAACAGGTAGGCTGGTGCTTTTGCGTAAAGAGGGACGCCCGGCGGACTCACCATCCGCA